GGCAGTTACCATGCTGCTAAGAAAAATAATAAAGTCAGATTTTCAAAAAAAAAAATAGAGATAAGAGAGAGAAAAAGACAAGAGTGTCAATTTATAACCCAGTTTTTCTCCAAGAGAGGTTAGTATACTGTTTGAGATTATCAACCATTTAGCATAGTTAGCTTAGCTACAGAATACTGTTTGCCTCCATTTCACTAGCATTTAATTAAAGAAAGAAAATTACCAACATATTCATATATTTAACTTGTCCTTTGTACCTTTTACCACTTAACATATGAGTCAGTCAGGAGCAGTTCTAACCCACGTCCCTCCTAACCCGTCCTCTCCTGAGTGAAATTAAAGCTGCAGTATGTCACTTTTATATAAATATTTTTTTCACATATTTTTTAAAACTGTCATTATGTTGTGACAGTATGGTATGAGAGGTAATCTGTGAAAAATCTATTTCCTCTGCCTTCTCCCAGTGCTAGAAACAACCAATCAGAGGCAGGAGGAGGGTTTTAGAGCTGTCAGTCACAATCTCATGTGACTGCTCAGCCTCCCCCGACCCCTCGCTCTGTGCTAAGCTGCAACTAGTATAGCCTGTGGTGAATGCTCAGTTTAGTTAGCACAGCCACCAATGACGGCAGATAAACAGTTTTCCTGTAACGATAAGTTGTTTCTCCACCATTAGCACATTTAGCAGTGAGTGAATGAGGTTGATTGACAACATCAAGACCCTCCTCCTGGTTCTGATTGGTTGTTTTTGGTCGGAACGTTGCATAACTTTAGCCAGCAGTAGCAGCTCAGGGAGGAGGTGGAGGGGATTGATCTTTTCTCAGATTATCTGTCTCATAACAAACTATCATGACATGGTGACAGCTTTAACAAATATGGAGAAAAATTTTTTTTTATTAAGGTTACATACTGCAGCTTCAATACAATGCAACGACAGCATTTTTTGAGAAGTCTGGATTGTTTTATGTATATTTTGCACATTGTCTGTGACTGTAGCAAGTGGGGAGAGACATTTCAGTAAGCTAAAACTAATAAAAAACATTTAAGCAACCTACTTGCATACTGTATGCGGACTGTTTCATGTAAAATTCATGAGCAGTAAGTATTGTGCTTGTATCAGTGTTGGACCAAAGAAAGTGTCACAATTTTAAAAGCCTTTAAAATTGTGACTCTTTTAGATGAGTCAGATAAACTCAAGAAATTGTAAGAGCAGCTGTGAAGGGCAGGGGGGGCAATTAAATTTTTTGTCATGGGGCCCAAGATTCCTGGCTGCGCCCCTGTATGGTAATGCCAGTTCTTTCACTTAAACCCCAACTAAAATATTTTATTTTCCAAAGTACACACTTTTGTTCTGTAAAATGATTTTTACCTTTATGTTCAATCTGATATATGTGGTTTATTTAATTAGTTTCTGTATTTCAGTCTCACATTTTCAAGTGTGTCCGCTCTATAAATGTAATTAGTTAGTTAATAGTATGCATTGTCTATTGTTTTGTGTTTATATTCAGAATGATGTATAATATATTTACAAATAAAGTGGAAAAAAAAACAAGCTGACATTGTGTCTCAGCTCTCGTTTTCATTGGCCGTTAGCAACACACTACCCGAATGCTTCCAGATCAGACTCCAAAAACTGAACCATGTTTTGTTGACTGATACAGAGGTCAGGTCGGGTCGGGTCAGGTCAGGTCAGGTCAGTTTCCATTATGCACTTGCAGACTTTCACAACTAACAATCAGTGGTAAAATCATGCAGGGTGCCTCTAATGGTCAGATGAACATTTTTCCCCGTCATAATTTAAATTTTGAAAAATATGCCTGTTGGTATTTTTATAAGAAAAACTAAAACTAGATCAGCAGCAACCAGATCTGTCACAGTAGAATCATTCATTCAGAGAGAAGTTGCACTATGGTGGAAGGTCATGCGATGAAAAAGCCTGAAGGATAAAAACATATATGCAGACTTTCTTCTTACCTTTAGCAAGCCGCTCCAGTCTTCTGCCATGCTCTGGTGGGACAACATACCTGCAAATTAACAAAACTGAGACAGTTATTCAAAGTATGATTAGTATGATTTTGGAGAGCAAAGTAAAAATCTGTGGAAAGCAAATGAGTAATATGACTGGTTGTTAAACACATTCTTTCAAATAAGAATAAAAAATCCCATAAAACTTCATAAACTAGTTAGTGAGAAGTTAAAGCATTCAATACATTGTTCAAGAGCAAATATATCTCGTGTGGATGTGCAGATGTAGTCAATGTCAGTTTTATGGTCACATTCTTTAGCAAATTAAAGAGGAAGAGACAGCAGCATCAAGTCTATTTCATAGTGGATGGCAGACATTGTGCAAACGGATAATGTTTTAATTTAGCGCAATAATAAACTTCCCTGAAACATTCAGGGAATGAATGTATGATCAACTGGAAGCTTACATGGATTCCAATTGATAATTAGGATCAAATGGAATGCATGTATGATTGATTTGACTTTGTTTTGTAAAGTGCCTTGAGATGACAGTTATTAATTGGTGCTGCATTCATAAAACAAATTGAATGTGGTAAGGTAAGCCTTCCTATTTACCATGACTTGGGCTCGCCATAGTGCAGGTAGCAAATGCTGTAAAGATTCATGTCCTCTGTGTGCCAAGGAAAGGCACTCTTCCACATCCCAAAATAAAGGCATGGGGTGGTAACTCCTTTTATCTTCACTGCACTCTCACTCTCCACAGTGTCCAGGATTGTGTTAAGATGGGCCATGTTCCATTCAGACACATCCTGCAACAGAAGGATTCATAGGAGACAGTGAGCAACAAAAATACGTGACTCATAAAAAAACAAACAAAAAACAATCATGGATATGGCTAATGGAGGCTCAGCGTGTTTTTTTCTAGTCCCCACTCACTGGATCAAACAGTGTTCCACTGACATCAGCTCCATACAGTGGGGGGTTAAAGGTCAGGTTCTTCCAAAACTTCCTTTCCAGTTCATCAAAATCGACATATCTGGGACTGCAAAACCTAAGGTTCACATATTTGGAGATCATCCGTAACACCAAAATGAATCTAATAATCACAGTGTTAAAAGTAAATAAAGGTAAACTACTACGCAAACAGACTTAGCCAAATTGGAGGTTTTCTGAAACTCAAGGACAGTCATTGGTTTCTTCTGGATGTTGTACTGCGTGAACAATCCCGACTGGCCAGTGACCACCTGCTGTATTGGAGCAGGAATCAGCAGATCATCGATGTCATCATATGTATTTCTTGGTTTCCAGCCTTTAGGTGGAATGATCTGCAAGTAAAGCAATCAGAGACGATACACTTCAGAGAAGAGTAACACAGATACAACTTTTTACAATCTACTAGAGTCTGCTAGGAAGATATAGATCCAAGATTGTGTTACATTGGTTTGTATAATTATATCAACAAACATTTCAAGATAAATTTCAGATTCTACTTGAAAAGTTTTTAATATTTTATTATGAGATTACATGAAAACTATGTGTATTGATCAATTTTCACATCTAATGGAAGATTTTTTTCGGCCAAAAGAAAAACAACGTAAATCAGACTAATGAGTCATCTGCCAGGTGTAGATACAGCTACTAAGTATTTTGCCTCCGCTGAGTACAAAAACAACTTTAAGTTCTTAACGACATCATCAAGTTCAAAGGTCTCAGTCTTAAGCTGCACAAAGTTGATCTGTTCAGAGGTGACTCAGTCAAGTTCTTATTCTTCCTACGTTGCTCTTCTCATAAAAAGTACACAGATTATTTCCTCATAAAATGTTACATTAGCAAAATGATACATTCAGCACCATGACACACAACAAAGGTTGAAATTCCATCTCATACTGAACCATAAAAACAAAAAGATCCATATTAATAAAATTATCTTCTTACTTTGGCAATTCCAGCTCTGTGAGCTCCTTGTGACTCCATGAAGGCAACATACCGAACAAAGTCCTTGAACTCTTCTTTGGAGGGGGTGAACGTCATTACCCTGAAATTAGGAGTTTGGTCTGGAGTGTCCGTAGTCATCTTGGCATTTCACGTAACACATGTACTGTTAATGGAAATGCAGACACACTGAGCTGTTGACTGGTTGCACAAATTATAGATCTCCACCCACTCATTTTAAAAAATCTACTCAAAAACACTTTCCAATTTGTGTCAATGCTCTGCTACTTTCTGGGGGTTCAAAATATATTTGGATATTTTATGTGATCAAACAAAACAAGCAGTGCAGGTGCATTAATGAATAGGAAAAAATATGTTAATTCCTGTCAGGACATGTGTAAACAAAACTAAAAAATGATCTGAAAGTGCAAGAGCATGGTAAGGAAAAAAACAAAATTCATCTGTAAGATGTACACAGGAAGAGTGATCTGTTAATCAAATGCTTTCTTCACCTGATCAGCAGCAACTGTGAGCACCTAAAGGCATAAAGGTTGTTGCTCTGAAACCTTCAAGTATGTATCAAGAGCACAGACTGATGCAATAGCTTAAGCTCAGCCAGAGAAAAGTCATACAGGATTCCACCACTCTAAAGGGGTTAAGATTGCTCTCAGGAGGGAAAACACTCACAACTTCCAATCCTGATCAGTGGAAACTTCCAAGCAATGTGAGCGCACTTATAATTTAAAAAAGAGAGGATTCCATCTCTGATCATTTTATATTCCACAGTTTCTTGGACAGTATATCGTTTTAGTGCATCACTATAGTCACAACAGGACAGTGACTAATCCTGAATCGTCTGAGAGGCTCAGAAGTAAATAACTGTTGACAGTTTGATACACAATAAAGACACATTTTCAGATTTTCCAATGCTATTGTGCCATTATAAACAAAGGTTATCTAATAATAATAGTAATAACATTTGCAGCCAGACAAGTAATAGCTACTAGACATTCTGAAGTGATCACACTGACATAAAGTCTAGGAAGCGTGAACAATGTGGAAAGGATATGCTCTCGAACCGCAGAACTAGGGAATGTCTCAGCTAAGTGGATGGATGGCCATCTGTTCCTTACTGCTGCCCACTGACAAGCTAACCAAGAAATAGCTTTAACTGCGTCAATTTTCCACATGATCCCAGCTGCAAACATCTGCGCTGTCAGTGATGTAGTGAAGGAGCTCAATGTGCGGCGGTCTCTCGGGGATCTGACAGCTTCCTCCACTTTCAGCTAAACAAGTAGCAAACATGGCTCGTTGCTGACGCTCACTTTCTTCTTCGCAAAACTCGAAGTAAACTCTGTCTTTCAATCAGTAAGTGTGTTTTCCGGTGACAGGCTTTACCTTACACACGCTGAGGTGGAGAGAAAAAGATTTATCCTCAAAGCGCGAGAGACGGAGCGCAAACAGATCAAATTATTTCGGTTACCACAGACAGTCCTCCATTATTCCCGTGACGCATGCTCAGTGAGTGTTTGTTTACATCGCACTCAAAAGGGAGGGTTTTCCTTAGTTCTTTCAGCCAATCAAACGCATCGTATTGGTAGACCAATCATCATCCAGTTAACATTGACGTATTGTTATTGGGCCTGCCATAGACATAATATAAGAGTAGACCCCGCATTGGCCGCTCCGGCGCAGGAAA